GGGCCCCCAGAGCCGGCACGCAGCCTCCAGTCCGGGAGTGTCGGTGGGCGCGCTCCCGGCCCTGCGCGCGGGGCCCGGGACGCAGCGGGGGACAACTAACCAACGTGACGTGGGCAGAGGGGCAAGTTTCGAGGCGATACCTGACGGGGCTCTCTGCTTTCTCTAGTCCTCTACTACAGAAGAAGGGACGTGTGCTTGGCTGCCCCAGACATGAATTACGCTCGGTTCCTCACAGCAACCAGCGCAGCGCGAACGCCTTCGGCCATCCGAATCCTGAGTGAGAAACGCGGCGGGCGCCCTGGGGGTGGGGCTTTCCTCGCACATCCTCGAAGGCTGGTGCCCAAGAGGTCACCGCTCGGTTGCATTCCTTTATTAGAACTGTGAAAGCCCGCCGAGAGCTAGGCTCCGCCTGCAGAAATAAAACAGACACAGCCTTTGTTCTCAAAAAACACGGGCTGGAACGAAGGCAGTAATTGGGTATTTCTGAGAGAGTGACGTCCAAGTAGCAAGTGAGAGAGGCAGCCATGTCCTTGGCAGCGAAGGGACGTGTTGTCAAGAAAGATTCTTCCTGGGAAGAATAGGGTATGTCAGTGTGCAGGTGTGGGGAAGTGAGGAAGGCTGGTCAGTGAGTGAGAGAGAGGGTGAGCAGTGAACAGTGAAGCTAGACAAGCAGTAGAGACCAAGTGGAGAAGGTCTTCTGATATGGTAGCTCTTTGCTGTCTTTCTGATCCCTCTGCCTGCTCCTCGCTCAGTTCCATTATTTAGCCCCTTTCCTAGTAAAGAGGCCCAGAAAGTTACCCTATGTGTTTAATTTAGTCTAGCATTCTGTCTTGGGTTATTATAATGAAGTACCATAAACTGGGTAATTTAGAAACAACAGAAATTTATTTATTACAGTTTTGGAAGCTAAGAAGTCTGAGATTGAGGCATCAGTAAATTCCTGTCTGGTGAGGGCACATTCCTTACAAATGGTACCTTGTTGCTGTGTCTTATATGGTGGAAGAGGGGAATCTGTGTCTTCACAAGGCAGAAGGGGGCAAGGACACTCCCTCGCGCCTATTTTATAAGAGCTTTCATGACCTAATTGCTTCCTAAAGGCCCCACTTCTTAATACTATGACATTGGGTATTGGATTCCAACACATGAATGGGGGTGGAGGGGGGGCAAGACTCCAGCATTGAGAGACCATAGTACAATCTATCTATAGAAATTGTTAAACTTTGTAATTTTGTTGGTGTAATGTATGCTTGACTTTACCTGTTTATAACAATCTTCAATGAAAGTGTTTGTTCTCTTCCATGTTTATGGTAGCTGATATATTGGTCAGGTCACAAAAACCACTCATCCCCTTGGGTACTGGATCACCAAATCCGAACATGTTTCCCTTTAAGACTGCCGTTATCACTGTAGAAAATGGGAAGCCCATCCAATTTGAAGAAGAGATGATGAAGAAAGCACTTCAGTATTCTCCAAGTACTGGGTAGATATCAGTATATGATGTCATTTTGTTGGCTGATTTTCATGAACAGCATTCTAAGACCCACTGATAACTTGACTTGCATGTTTTTAAACTGGATATGTAATGGTTAGAAAGATTTGGGGACATTTTCAAAGAATAATTAAGAGCAAAAGGGATACTGTATGGTGAGCACTCCTCAGTGACTGCTTCTTAACCTTAGATGACTGGTAAAGTCAGAGAAGGCTTCTGGAAGGATCTACCATTGCAGCTAAGTCTGAAAAAATGAGAATTAGCTAATTAAAGAAGCATATTGAGAATTAAAAAGAAAATGGATGATACTGGAAGCACAGTTTTAAGTCCCTGAGCCATTTTATAATATTTATATTATTTTCTAAGTAGACAGCCATGGGGCCAGCATGTGGCATGGTGATTAAAGCACTGGACTCCCACATGGCCAACCACAGTTAAAGTCTCAGAACTGGCAGTTTGCTCTGTCCTTTTCTGTCTCTCTGGTGAGCACGTGTGTCCTATAGCAAATTTCTAAACAATAGTAATAAATAAAATAAATAGACAACCATGCAAATACTTTGCCTTCCTAGGTTCAAATATCTTTCATGTCTTAAAGGTAAACTGAAACACATACTTTAAGATTTTCTATAGCTGATCTTCTTCCAATGGTAAAGAATAATTTATGAAGAGTCTATAAATTATACTTTACTAAAATTTTCTTTGTTCTGTGGTTGAAAAATATTTTGAAATATATGTAGTTCATATATAATGTGTGTGTTTGTGTGTGTATATACGCGTATGCATATATATGTATGTGTATATACACAAATGTATATATGTACACATATATATGTGTGAGTATGTGTATATATGTGTGTAGATATATACTATATACATAGTATATATGTGTATACGTGTGTGTATATATACACGCATGTATATATTATACACACACACACATGTGTGTGCATATACTCTAAAGAGCACATGCACTTGCCACAGTGAGACAGAGAAGGAGAAGAGAAAGGATCCCCCCCATGGAGGATAGTCATGCTGCAATCCCTTCTCCTCAGTCTCTCCCTACTTTCAAGATTTAGGGGCATGCATGCACAGATGTCCAGTGTGTTTCTCAAGTTGCTGGGTCCAGGACTCAAACCACACAGTTGACCATAGGGAATTTGGCTGCTAACCACCAGGTTATGGAGCCAGCCCTATATCTATATTATATTGTATGTAATACATACATAGGTTTTTCTTTCTGTGATACAAAGAATTTACTGAGCCTGCACTTGTAGGTAGCCTATCAAAATCTTCCTAAGGGCATAGCCATAGTGGCACATAGATAGCACCACTGCTTGAAAGGCTAGACACTGCATGGGAGGCCTGGGTTCAGTTCCTGGGCCAATCTGAGCTTGCCAAGGTACAGGTTAGCATACCTATAATCCCAGCTAATTGGGAGACTACGACAGAAGGACCATGACACTGTGAAACCCAGTCAAAAATACCTATCCTTGTTTTTCTTCCTCCCTCTCTCCCTCCCTTTTTCATACACACAGAGAAAAAGAAAAAATATCCCTAAGAGAAAAAGAAATCGAATACTTTGGTGTAAAAGAAAGGTTTCAAACTTTGGAATAAGAAAGGTGTAGATTCAAATCTCAGCTCATTGATTAAATGATTGATTTCATGTAAATTTTCTAATCTCTAAGTCTATTGCTTGATCTTGTAATTTCAAAATCTATTGCCTGGTCTTTTTTTTTTTTTTTTTTTTTTTTTTTTTATAAGAGAGAGAAAGATAAAAAGGAGAGAGAGAAAGAACTACCTTCAATAGGGTCTTATGTCACAATCCTTCCCCTAACCTTTCCAGCCAGCTAGGATCATGGACACCTGACAATGCAGCAACTATACCCCAATCTTCCATGTGGCTTCACCTCAAAGTGTTACCACTATGCCACCACACTGGACCTGTCTGGGCTTTTAAATGGGAATATTAATACTGGAAAAGTGAATCTTTTTTTTTTTTTTTTTGGTCCATATTCCTAAGAAGAGCTACGAAAAGGTGGTAATACTACAAGCCTGAAGAAAGGGACAGAACTAAAATGCCTCCTCTTGAAACAGATATGATGGTGGAAATGGAAAGATACAGAAAGAATTGACTAGCATATGGTACAGGAGCTTAAACACCTATGGTCAGTGATAAAGAAGGTAATGTCAGAGACTTGGAACGTATCAGGGAATTGAGAGAGGTAACAGAAATGTGCAAGGTGGACTGGCCACGAAGTCACAGTACTGTAGTAAATGCAAAACGAGAAATTCTGAGAATGCAGGGAAAGGGAGAAACTAAACCACGATAAGAGAAAAGAAAAGGAGAGACCAAGCGATACAGTCTACACATAATTACACTACTTGGAACAGAAGACAAAATAAGGAGCTGAAATGATTATTAAGAAACTGAACAAAATTTCCCAGAGTTAAAGAATGAGCTAGATCTACAAAAGGAAAAAGCTCACATAGTACCTTTAAAATTTGACGAAAAGAAAGCAACAAGTAGATGTATCCTCGTAACATTTAAATTTCAAGGAAAAATAAAATTCTACAAATACCCAGACAGAAAAAAATAAAAAAGAGCCAGATTATCTGTAAAGTGCAAAAGTCAGGCTGATGTCAGATTTATCTCTTGCAACTCCAAATGCTAAAAGACAATGGATCCACAGAGTCTTAAGGGAAAATAAATTTAAAGCCAGGAATTCTATACCTTGCCAAATTATTATTTGTCTATGAAAATAACTAGAAGACATTTTCAGCTATGCAGGGTTTAAGAAAGTACATTAGGGGCCAGCAGATGGTGTAGCAGTACATTGCTGGAATCCCACATGGCTGACCATTGTTCGAATCCTGGACTTGATGGCTTGACACTCATGCCAGACATATGTGCATACATGCATGCCCAAGATCTTGGGAAGAGAATGAAAGAGAAGAAATTGCTGCATGGCCATCCCCCCAGAGGGTGATTTCTCACTTTCCCTCTCACTGTGTGTCGCTCTCCTTGGCAAGCCCACGCTCCCTAAGGCAAAAACCTCCCCAAAAAAAAAAAAAAGTATATCAACCAAGAGCCTTCCCTGAACAATCTGTTGCATGATTTACAGAAGTCAGCAGGTAACATGAGTCAAAATAAATGGAGCAGGGAGGCAACAGTATGAAAAAATTTTAAAGCATTAAAACTAGTTAAGAGGGGACCAGCAGTTAGCGAAATGGCTATGTTGCTGGACTCCCACGTAGTTGACTGCAGTTTGAGTCCTGGACCCAGTGGCTTAAACTCATGCCGGGCGCGTGTGCGTGCCTGCCCAAGATCCGGAGAGGAGAATGGAATAGAAGGGATTGCGGCGTGGCCATCCCCTCTGGGGGGTGATTTCTCACTTTCTATCTCTCTGTCTGTCTGTGTCTGGCAAGCTGCACGTACCCTATAGCAAAAACTTCTCCAAAGGGAAAAAAAAAAAAACTAATTAAGAAGCATTAAGTTTAAATTGTTTATATAGGATGATAAAAATGAATACAAAAATAGATTTTTAAGTTGGGTCTAAAATTTTAGTTCATATAATTTTAAACCATGAAAAGACATGCAAGATGTTCAATAGTATGTAGTGTTGCAGATAAAGATATGCATGTTCTCAAGCTAAACATAAGTATAAGAGTGCTTTGTCATTGTGGACAGGACTAGTGAAAGCATTACAAATGTTAATCTGACAAAACTGGAAAAAGCAGCTGTACAGTGTTATTCACCTTATTTCTAATTAGAGAGAAAAAAAGCAGCCAGGTGGCCCTTTAATATTAACTTTGATAGTATAAAAACAAAACTTTCAAATCACTGGTTGGTCACTTGTTTTGCATACATGTTACATGGAGAAAAAACATATTTGCAGTAGTTCATACAAATAAATTTGACATTAAGATATGTCTTTAGCAAAAATAGAGTATGTACATCCATTTTTATGGATTAGAAAGGAAGTGGTGAAAACACAAAAGGTAGCAAAATAGAAATATTAAGGATGCATAAAATTAGCATAAAATTGGTTGACAGAGGTACAGATGAGTTGCCCTGATGTACTGATTGAATATCCCTATTAAAAAGATTCATATTGGTTCAGAAACCAGTCCAAAAACAAGGATGCTGTGATTTGTATAAAACGGGATAAAAGCATTTAAAGGTAATGGAAAGTTTAAGTCATAGAATGAAACTTTTTATTAGCATCCACGCATATAACAAGATATTTTGTATTTATAAAAACAGTGTGGGAGGGGGCCAGCAGGTAGCATAGTGGTTAAATGTGCTGGATTACCACATGGCCGACCAAGGTTCGAGTTCCAGACCTGTGGGTTGCTCTCTCACTTTCCCTTTCTCTCTGTCTCTGTCTGGTCAAATTAAAAAATAATAATAACAAATGAAATTAAATAAATAAATAATTTTTTAAAAACAGTATGGGATATAACCTTAGAGACTATGTAGTAAACAGCATAGCATTCACATGTAAAGTACATGTTTAATATTCTTGATGTGGTTGACAGTCTTACTAGTATAAAAAAAGTGTATATTTTAAACATTGTGCATTTGAAATCTGTATTTCTATGTATCTAAAATTCATAGAGTAATCCTTCAGTTTAAATATATATATATATATATATACACATATATATATATATATATATA